GGCGGGCTTCTCCATTGTCTTCATTATCTTCTACGGGGTGACGTCCATCGGCATGCATGGCCGCAACCTGAGCCGCTTCCAGCGCCTGGGGGCCCTGCTGGCGGCGCTGCAGCTCCCATGGCTCGTGGTCGGGGACTGGAACGTCACCCCGCAGGTGCTCAGCCAGACGGGCTTCCTGGATCGAGTGCATGGGCGGGTGCTCCAGGCTCCTGTGGACTACACATGTGACGTGGGCGCAGGCACGCTGATCGATTTCACGGTCATGAGCGAGTCAGCCATCCCCTTCGTAGTTGGCTGTCAGGCGGTGCTAGACGTGCCGTGGCGGCCTCACCTTGGCTTGATTATCACACTCAAAAGCAGTGTCAAGCAGTTGATTACACGCAGACTGGACGCTCCTGGCCGTCTTCCTCAGCTTCGGCGGCCGCAGGCTCTACCTCAGGAGGGTTCCAAGACCTCCAAGGCTAAGAAGGCCAAGGCCGTGCGGGTTGCCTTGGCGCAGGAGCGTAGGTCGGATTTCTTTCACACTTTGTTCTCTGAATATCTGTCGCAGCCAGGCGACGAGATCAGCACAGCAGTCCCATCGGACGATGAGGACGAAGTCGAGTGCCAATTTGATGACGGATGGCCTGAGGAGGAAGAAGATCCTTGGGGTCACGAGTCGTGTTTCAGTGCACACCCGCACGCATGCCAGAGCCATGCGGGTGAGCGCGCTCATCACAGCAGCAGGGGTGAGTCTGAAAATGGAGCCTCTGTCACATCGTCGGCGTCGCAAGGGTCTGAGCCCGTTCGCCTCTCTGATCCTGTGAATAAGCCCTCTTTTGTCCAGGCCAATTCGGGACCTCCCCCCCTTTCTTCCAGCGGTGGTGCGCCGCCCCTGGTCACGGAAGCCGCCTTGGAAGACCCGTCCCTTCAGGGTGAACCCGAGTTCTATATTTCGGAAGACTGTTGGAGACAGCATCGTAATAGTGTTTGCACTCTGGAGGTGTCCGAGGATGCCATGCCTCCCTCCTACCTCGCCTCCGTTGCATTTAGGCTCAACCCCAAGCCTGTTTCCACAGTCAGTTCATGGTACTCTGCTTGGTCTCGCGGAGTTGAGCGCACGATTTGTGCTCATCACTGCGTGCCGCTGCCAGCTGGGCCCAGCAGGGGCGACGGCTGCAAGTTCGTGGTTGAGGAGGTGCACCAGTCTGCGCGAGGGCGTACGGCGCCGCTGCGGGACCAGGTTGCTTGCTGGTGGAAGCGAGTTGCCACGCTGCTAGCGCAAGCTGGGAGGCACCTCGCTCGCGGCAACGGTGAACGTGAGCTTGAGGCCATCCAGAGGGCTTGCAGGCATCTGGTCTACGAGCGGCCTGCAGGGGTACATCTGTTGCTGCGCCCTGGCAGGGACGCGAGTGACCGCAAGTGGGCGAAGGTGCTGCTGAATGTAAGGGATATGGTCGTGCCAGTGCTGCAGTCCTTCCAGGAGCAGGCGGCTCGACTGGCTCGACGAGGGCAGCGGAGGGCCGTCCACGAGTCGCTGTCGGACTTCCAGCAGTGGGTCACTCAGCAGTCTGCGGTGGGGGTCCTGCACCGTAGCATGCGGGAGGAACAGCTCCCGCCGCTCGAAGTTCTGGAGGGGGACATTGCCGTCGTCCACCCGCGGGACATCATCGACAGCAAGTGCAAGCACTGGCAGAAGAAGTGGGCCCCCCACGTCGTCGACGAGACTAAGTTGGCACGCGCATATGATGATGCACGTGAAGCTGCTCGCGCGGAGCCGCTGGATCCGATTACGGCAGCTGAGGTGCGCGCAGCAGCACGCAAGATGAAGGCCACCACTGGTCTAGGCGCCGATCGGATGACGCCGATCGACGTGGAGCGGCTCCCTGATAGTGCTGTACTGGAGCTTGCAGAGCTGCTCAACCTGATCGAGTGCTCGTTGGCGTGGCCTCTCCAGACACAGCTGATCATTGGCAAGCTTCTGCCGAAGAAGCTGGGCGGCGACCGCGTGATCGGACTGGCGTCGTTTCTAGGAAGATTGTGGTCCCTCATTCGGGAAGGACATGTTCGTGAGTGGTGTTCGCTTGTTGAGGACGAGTGGGACGCTGCGATTTGTGGGAATGCCTCCCTCAGGGAAGCTTTCCACCGTGCGCTCCAGGAAGAAGTGGCGGGCGTGCTCGGCACGCCCTTCGGGCACGGCCTCATGGACGTGGAGGGGTTCTACGACGGCATCGAGTGGGACATCCTCGTCCAGGTCTCTTTGAAGCTTGGGTTCCCTCCCATCATCATGTATCTGGAGCTGTCTCAGTGCATGGCGCCGAGGGCCCTGGAGCAGCAAGGAGCGGTCAGCCAGCCGTTCCTTGCCACGTGCAGCATTATACAGGGCCTTCGGTCAGGCACGCGTTTCGCAAAATGTATGACACACTTTGTCATGGCTAAGGTGTGCCAGCAGCATTCGCAGATATCCAGTCGCATTTGGATCGACGATCTTTCTCAAAGTCTGGCTGGATCGAGGGCGGCAGTACGAGATAGGCTCACGGCTTGCTTGGCCGACACTGCAGCCGAGCTAGCTTCGGTCAAGCTCAAGATCGCAGCCAAATCTTGTGTCATTTGCTCGCACCATGGGGATGCTAAAGAAATAGTGCGTCGGCTGAGGAAACGAGGATTGGTTGTGAGAGCGCAACTGCAGGCAGGCTTCCTTGGAGTGGACCAGGGTGGCGGTCGTCGCACTGCCCGCGAGGTTCGCACCAAGCGAGGACTGAAGCAGCGTCGGCTTCATTCCAAAGTGGTTCGTTTTGCGCGGGCTTCAAAAAGATATCACGTCACGGCTCGCCTGGAGAAGATGGGGGCGCAGGCAGCAGGCAATTTCGGTCAGTCTATCCATGGGACCTTCGGCCGGCGTCTCCAGCAATGTCGCAGAGATTTAGCCGCGGCGTCCTGTTCAGGAGGTAAAGGCATGTGTACCACCACTCTCTTGTCTATCCGTGGCGAATCGGCGGACACTGGTATTCAGATGCCTCGTGAAGTTTTGAGTTTGTGGTTGCATCAATGGTTTACTCAGGCGCATGTTCGGCCAGGAGTCTACCGTGCGTGGCCGCTGTTGGTCAGGAGATTCCAGAATATGCCACCATCTCATCGGTCACGGTGGGTCCGCGGCCCGCTGTCGGCCACCATCTTAACCCTGATTGAGCGAGGATGGGTACCCGAGTCACCGACATGTTGGCATTTTTCGGACGATATTTCATGGCAATTTCCTGAGGCCGAGTACAACGCAGAGATGGCTCTCAACAATATTAGTGGTTTCTTCGTTGATTTCGATTATTCTTCTGCTGTTGGATCCTGGGAACGCGCATCCAAGCACTTCTGTGGGGCTGGCTTGGAGCAGGGAGCAGACCATTTCTCACTGCGGCTTTTGCTTCGGTACCTTCGTCGGCTACCACGTGGGCGGCGGCTGGAGGAGCTACTTGTCTCTATTGCAGCTGGTGGGGCTTGGCCCAGGGCAAGGAGGGCAGAGTCCGCCTCCAAGGTCCAGGTCAGCCCGTGGTGCCCACGGTGCAAGGTCGAGAAGGAGGACGCTTTCCACAGGTACTGGGGTTGCGAGCACAATGCAGGTGCCGAGGCTTGCGTCAAGTCGGAGGATTTGCTGCCGAAGGCGACGACCCAGCACCAGGCGGATGAGGCTTTCTGGCTGAGAGGTGTCATTCCCAAGGGATGGACCAGTCTACCGCCACCGCCGTCAGCAGCGGCGTGGACGGGTACAGGCGCTCTGTTGAACGGCACGGACGAGAACGGTCTGGGACCAGGAGCTGAGTATGCGCCCGTCGTGATGTTCGGGGACGCTAGCGGGGGGCCCGATTCCCGTGACCCGAGGTTCCGACGCGTTGGGTGTGGCCTGTCAATCGTCAAGTCGGAGGCCGACCTTGAGGAGATTGCCACGCTGCAGGGTCCGCTTGTCGGTGAGCAGACCGTGCCGCGCGGAGAGTTGACGATGCTCCTCATGGCTGCGCGTCTGACCAGCGACTTTGCAGTTTATGTGTGTGATAATAAGATGGTGTACGATGGATGGTATGCACAGCGGTACCGCCACCCGCGAGGGGACCTGGCGGAACTCTGGGCACTCGTGGGCGTCGAGTTCCAGGAGCGGGACCCCGCCCACTTTGTGGTCCTGTTCGTGAACTCGCACCTCTCTGAGGCGGAGGCCGAGGAGAACGGCACGCCTCTGTGGCTGGTGCGGGGCAACGCGCTGGCCGACAGGTTGGCGGGCGAGGCAGCGAACGAGGCTCGGCTGCCACAGGCGGTCAGGGCCAAGGTGCAGCAGGTGGAGCATGAGGCGTTCCTCGTGAGGATGCGCCTGCTGAGGGCGTCGCTGGACGCCCTGGCCGCGGAGGAGCTCGAGAAGAAGGCGGGGCGCCAGGGGCGGATGGATCCGCTCGGAGATGTGAGTGAAGGAGTTGGGAGTGGTGTTTCCTCCCCCCCTCCTCTTCCTCCTCCTCCCCCTCCGCCTCCCCCTTGTCTGGAGGCCCTGTCTGTTTTTAACACCCAGCACGCGCTCGACGAATCGGGGCGTCGGTGCCGTCGGCGTCGCGGGTCCTCGTCGAGCTCCGAGTTGCGGAAGTGACGTGCCTCACCGTGTTTCAGGTTGATTGCTCTTGATGGGTCCCTTCGGGTTCTTCCAAGGGGGGTCGAGCTGCACCTCGCGGGGGGAGTTGTCCATGTCTCGCACAAGATGCGGTTTAATCAGGATGTCCAGGTTTGGTTCTGTGCATCGTGTGGTATGTTCTGTGATCAGCAGCTCGTTGGGTTAGGAAGAGCCTGCCCTGATCGGGTGACGCCCACCCGAGCCGAGTATCTCGATCGAATTCAGAGAGGTTTATGGCCTAAGGTATATAGTACCAAGGAGAAGGCCAGGCGAGCACAGAAGGGGCTCCCGTGTTGATGTTAAGGGTGTGGACACTGTCCTGGGACTCTTACTCTTACTCTTACTCCTCCTCCTCCTCCTCCTTCTTCTCCTCTTCCTCCTCCTCCTCCTCCGGAGGGCGTGCCGCAGGCAGCGCGCGGGGCGCAGAGGCCTCCGCGGCGATGCGGGCGCACAGGTCCTGCGCGGCCAGGACCAGCACGATGGGCCCCGGGTCCTCCTCCTCCGCAGGGGAGCGGGCGAGGGGGTCCACGCGAGGGCTGAGTCGGGCACAGTATGTCCTCCTGCAGGCCGATGTTGGACTGTTGGACCAAACATGCAACATAGTTTCGAAAAGATAGAGCAACAGAAATAATAGGAAAAAATCGTCCCCAGGCTATCTTGGGGACCATTCTTGAAGATTCCTCCTGTGGAGGGGCATGCCCGACTTAACGCCAGGGGGGGGCCTGGCACTGGTGGTTCCTGGAAGCGACAGGGGCCGTTCTGTGTGTACCGCTTCCAGACCGCTTGATGCTGCACAGGAAGACGGTGAGCGGACTGCCCACCGAAGCAGGGAAAAACGGCTCCAGAAGGGACCCCAGAGCAGAAACCGGAAAACGAGCGGCGACTCGGCGGTGGACAGAACTCTCCTTAGCGTAAACGGCCCAGGGCCGATACCGACGGACCTGGACTCGCAAAAATGACGGCCGCGACGTCTTCTCGCGAACCGAAAACGGCCGTTTCCTGAATCGACGTGTCAGGCCAGGAGGTCTGTCAACCTCCGAGCGACGACACCGGAAGCAGAACGGCGCCAGAACCGAGAGCAATGTGCAGGACGAGAGCGGGGCAACAACAGCAGCCTTCTCGTTTCCAAGACTGGCCGAGGGTCGGAAGCATCGACCTGCACAAATAAATACACATAATTACAAGGATTCCCCATATGTTCCCATATTTTCTTGGCTTCTCTGTCTTCCCCCCCACTGCCCACATTTTCCCATATCTTCTGTGGAATCGACGATGCATTGTGTCTGTGTCTTTTTTCCCCTCCTGAGGGTCGACCTCTCCGAGGCTTCCGGGAGGTCTCGTCGGAGCTCGGCGGTGGGGGCTGGCTGTTGGGGGGGGGACACGTCGACCTCGCTGGAATCGGCGATCTTCAAGAGGGGAAGAAGCACACAGACACAATGAATCCTCGATCCCCCAGAAGATATGAGAAACTATGGGGAGTGGGGGGGAACAAAAAAAAACTTTAAAACTATTGGAAAATATAAGGAGTAATATTAGAGGGTGCGCCGCTGGATCTCCCCAAAGTGGGGGGGTTAGGACCCCCCCACTGACCCGATCCGTCGTCGGGGACCCCCCCCCCCCCCCTTCCCCGATCCGTCGTAGGGGACCACCCCCCCCCCTCCCCCCCCCTTTCCCCCGACCCCCCCCGTCGTCGGGACCCCCCCCCCCCCCCTCCCCCCCCTTTCAAATGGGGGGGGGGGGGGGGGTGGGGGGGGGGGTCTCCCGACGCCCCCCCTCCTCCCTCCCTTTCGCCACGCCGCCCATGACTCCGGACCCGACCCCTTCACCCCTAGTTCCCACCTTAACCCAAACCCCTAATCCTAACCCCAACCACTAACCCCAGCCCCAAGGAGCACTAACTACTCATTACTCACTACCCACTACTGCCTACTCGCTATTCGCTACTCACTTCTGAATACCCCCTACTCACTACTCACGACTCATTACCCACTGTCCACTACTCACTACCCACCACCCACTACTCGCTACTCACTACTCCCTACTCACTACTTCCTCCTCCCTACTCACTACTCACTACTCACTACTCACTACCCACTACTCAATTCTCACTACTCAGTAAGCGCTACTTTCTAGTCCCTACTCACTTCTCACGAATCACTACTCCTTACCCATTACCCACTATCGGCTACTCACCACTCACTACTAACGACTCATTGCCCACGAACTACTACTGACTACCCACTACTCGCTACTCGCTACTCCCTACTCCCTACACAATACTGGCTACACGGTACTCAATACTCTCTACTCGCTACTCCCATACACGCTACTCAATACTCACTACTCACTCTCCGCCACTCACTATTCACTACTCACTACTTACTACTCCCTACTCACTAGTCGCTAAATAATCTCTAGTCACTGGGTCACAACTCACTAGTCACTAGTCACTACCCACTACTCACCAATCGCTACTCACTACCCACTATTCGCTACCCACTTCTTACTACTCACTACTCACTACTCCCTACTCCCTACTCGCTACTCAATACTCCCTACTCGCTACTCCCTACTCGTTACTCACTAATCACTACCCACTACTCACTACTGACTACTCTCTACTCACTACTCACTACTCACTACGCCCTACTCGCTCCTCACTACTCACTACTCGCTACTCCCTACTCGCTAGTCACTACTCACTACTCACTGCCCCTACCCACTACTCACTACTCACTACTCGCTACTCACTACTCGCTACTCACTACGCACTACTCACTACTAAACTACTCACTACTCACTACGCACTAAAGACTACTCAGTAATCACTAACCACTAATCGCCACCCACTACTCACTACAAACTACTCACTACCCCATACTCATTACTCCCTACTCCCTACTCAGTACTCACTACCCGCTACTCGCTACTGCCTATTCACTACTCACTACTCGCCACTCGCTATTCACTCATCAGTATACACTACTCACTTTTCACTACTCACGACTCCCCACTCCCTACTCCCCACTCGCCACTCACTACCCACTACTCACTACCCAATACTCACTACCCACTACGCACTAACTCACTACGCACTACTCACCAGTCCCTACTCCCAACTCCGTACTCCCTACACGACGGGGGGGGGGGCCTACCCCCCCCCCTCTTCCAGCGCCAAGGGGGGGAGGGGGGAGGGGGGTTCCGTACCCCTCCCCCTCCCTTCAAGGAAGGGAAGGGGGTGGGTTCGGGACCCCCCCCCCCCCTTAAGGGGGGGGGAAGGGGGGGAGAGGGGGGGGGGGTGTGGGGGAGAGGGGGGGGGGTTCTGGACCCCCCCCCATTTAGTGTATTCAGGGAGATCCACTGGCGCACTCACTTTCGTATTTTTTGTGTGTATGTATTTGTGTGTCCTGGGGCCCCTTCAGATATGTTGCCGACAGATCGGCGATAGGCCCCCGACAGCAATACCGAACGCAACCGAGCTCGCTGGGCGATCGTCACCGAAGAAAGAAGAGCCCCTGATCCTAAAGAGGAGCCCCTAATCCGAACAACAGAATGAAGACGTGGCCTCACTGCGGTCCCGTTGTTGCATTCGGGATCCTGATTATAACTGGCCTGGCTTGGTACACCTGCAGAACAGGCATCCTATCCCAGGTGAGTCTGGCACTCCTAACTCAGGCCCCCTCCCAGAGGATTAGGGCTATGTCGGGCATGTCCTCCTACAGCCAACGGGTGCTCAGAACTGATCATGAAATAATGGAAACATCGTCCCCAGACTATGCGTAAACTGTGTTTGACTGTTCCTCCTGTAGAGGGACATGCCCGAATTAAGGTTAGGGGTCCTGTCGTTGCCAAGTGTATCGGGACCCTACGGGAAATCAGTGGGCGATTGGGGGTCGATGAGCCTCCCCCTGAGCCTATCCCGAAGGGGCCCTGGGACGCACAAATAAATACGCACAAGAAAACATGACTCCCCATATGTTCGCACATCTTCTGGGACTTTGTCTCCCCCCCCCCCACTTCCCGTACTTTCCCATCCTTTTCCTGGGCATCAACGATCACTTGTGTGTGTGTGTGTGTGTGTGTGTTGTGTGTGTGTGTGTGTGTGTGTGTGTGTGTGTGTGTGTGTGTGTGTGTGTGTGTGTGTGTGGTGTTGTGTGGTGTGTGTGTTGTGTGCTGTGTGTGGTGTTGTGTGTGTGTGGTGTGTGCCTGTGTGTGGTGTGTGTGTGGTGTGTGTGTGTGGTGTGTGTGTGTAGTGTGTGTGGGGTGTGTGTGTGGTGTGGTGTGTGTGTGGTGTGTAGTGTGTGTGTGTGTGGTTGTGTGTGTGTGTGTGTGTGTGTGTGTGTGTTGTGTCGTGTGGTGTGTGTGTGTGTGTGTGGAGTGTTGTGTGGGTGTGTTTGTTCCCACCCTGAGCCTATCCCCCCCGCCAGCGCTGCCCCCGAGAAGGGCGCCAGGGAGTGCCGCGTCCACGCTGCCAAGCCACCCTCTCGGGGGAGGGTGCTCCTTATACACTCCCCCTCCTCCACCTCCTCCCTCTCCTCCTCCTCCTCCTCCTCCTCCTCCTCCTCCTCCTCCCTCTCCTCTTGCTACCCCTCCTCCTCCCCCTCCACCTTTTTGTTATCTTTTCCTTTTTTCTCTCCTCTGCTCCCCTTCCTCCTCCTCACCCCCTCCTCCGCCCCCTCCACCTCCTCCTCCTCCTTCCCCTCCTTCTTCTCCTGCGCACAAGGCCGTTGAAACCAGCAACGGTCAAAAAGAAACGAAGCAACTTCTGGGCCCCCCCCCCCCCAAAAAAAAAATGGGCCTGCGTGCACGGGGAGGGCCAGATGAACAGCCGTGGAGGGACCTGAGGAACATCGAACCCCGCCTGAATCCCACCTGTTCCTTACTTGAGAACCTTGACTGGATGGCCGTTCTTTTTTTGGGGGGGGCCTGGTCGGGGCCCTGGCACACAGTCAAGAGATCCTGGGTGAACAGCTGGGCCCGCGAAAATGGTTCGGGACCTCTGGGGCCGCGGATTGGAGAAGCCAGGTCGTCGAATGTCAGGGCCCCATGGGGGAGCCGATCGTATCGACGCCCTTTTGAAAGTAGCGTCGACGCCGATCAGCGCCCCCAGGTTCTGCGGCGACTCCTGGGAGCTTCCCATGTCACCTTGCTGGCGCTTGCGAATCGACGCCAGCCAGTGCTCACCGACGCTGACCGACGCTGATCGACGCCACATCCACACCAATCGACGCTACGTCGGCGCGTCCTCGTCGATTACCAGACGCTGGCACGCACACGCACACACTCGAAAGACAGTTAATGGCGAGGCCGCACGCGCGGATCACACACGAGCAGCTGTGGAGGTCTGCGAAAACTAATCCTCTGGGCGGTGGTTATGTAAAACATCCCCCGACTCGAATCGACGCGGGTCCGCGGCCCCAAGTGATGGGACGATTCCCCACCACCACTGCCACAGGTAGGAGGAGGAGGAGGAAGAGGAGGAGGAGGAGGAGGAGGAGGAGGAGAAGGAGGAAGAGGTATATGAAAAGGAGGGCGAGGATGGGGAGCAGGAGGAGGAGGAAAAGGGGAAGGAGGAGGAGGAGGAGGAGGAAGAAGAAGAAGACCTCCCCATCCTCCCTTCTCCCCCGTCCTGCCCCCCCCCCCCCCCGAAGGTGCGGCCTGCATGCCACGCGGCAGCTCGGGGAGGAGGAGGGTGAGGAGGAGGAGGAGCAGAAAGAGGCGGCGGAGGAGGCGGAGAAGGATGAGGAGGAGGAAGAGGAGAAGGAGGCGGAGGAGAAGTGGGAGGGTGGGGAGTGCGGAGTGCGGGGGAGGAGGGAGGAAGAGGACGAGGATGAGGATGAGGTTGAGGAGGAGGAGGGGGAAGGGGAGGAGGAGGACGAGGAGGACAAGGAGGCGCAGCAGGCCCATGCCCCCCCCCCACCGCTGCGAAAAGCACACCGGGAGGCAGCCGGGAGGCTGGGAGCGGAGAGAGGGCAGAGAGAGAGAGAGAGAAAACAAGAAAAAACAAAAAAGAAAAAAGAAGAAAGAACAGGAAGAGCGAGGCAGAGAGCGAGAGAGAGAAGGAGAGAGAGAGAAGGAGAGATAGAGGGGGAGCTGGGTGCGGGCGCGTCCAGGCTCCCCAAAGCGGCGCTCGCACTTGGGGGCTCGGGCGCGTGTTCTCGGGAACCGGACCTGTCTGCCGGCCGCCAGCGGCGATGCAGCCGCCGTCGCCGCCCGTCGTCGCCGCCTCGTCGCCGCCTCGCCGACTGGGCCGCACTGTCGGACCGGCGGAGATCCGTCGGCGCCGCCGCCGCCCCGACGCGGGCCCGTCGCCGCCCGCCGCCTGAGCCTGCCCCGTGGCTCTGGCGGCAGCGCCGTCGCCGCCGCTGGCCGCCGCTGGCCCGCGCGCGCCTCCAGCGCGGCCTGGTCCTCGGCGTGCACGGCGGCGGGCACCAGGTACGCGGCGCTGCCCGTGCCGCCGGCCGCCTCCTCGGGGGGGCGGCCGCGGCGGCCGGCGGCGGCGGCATTGCGGCATTTCGGCCCTCGGCGGGCCTCTGTGAAGGGGCCCCAGGACACACACATAAATACACACAAATAGAAATATTCCTCATACTTCCCAATATTTTCTGGGTTTTTGTCTTCCCCCCCACTTCCCATATTTTCCTATATTTTCCTGGGAATCGACGCTTCATTGTGTCTGTGTGTTTTTCTCCTCCTGACTCTGGCGCCTCACGGGCAGCGGCGGCGGCGACGGCGACGGCGGCGCGGCCGCCGAGGCCGCTGGGCGGACATCGACTTTCGGGGGCCGCCGCGGGCGGTGGACTTGGAGAGGGCCGCCCCCCCGCCGAGGTCGGCGAAGAGCGGTACCCCGGCTGATGGTTGGAGGCAGAGCCACGGAAGAAATGGGTACAATGCCCAATAGCACATGTTGTCCCAAACCAACAGCGGCCGCGGTTCGGCAGGCGGCCTTCTGTCTCGCATGGACACAGGCCGCGGCGGCGCGACAGCGAGTCCTGTTCAGAATGAACAGGAACTGCTGTTGGGCATTGTACCCAGTCTTTCCGCACCCATGTCGGTCGTGCAGATCGGAGGCGGCGCCGGGCGACCGCGGCGGAGGTTGCCGGCGGCGACGAAGGCGGCCATAACGACGACGAGGGCGGCCATCGGCGGCTCTCGGCGGACCTGGCAGCGACGCGGCGGCGGCGGCGGCGACGCCCAGGGGCAGACCTCGAGACCGACTGCAGGCACCAGGGGGTAGACGAGGAATCATCGGCCTCCCCGTCGTCGCCGTCCTCGTCCTTGACCCCTGCTGTGCTGCCTCCTTCGTTTTCTTCTCCTCGTGCTCCTCCGTTCCGCCGCCTCCTCATCCTCCGCTGCGTCCTCCCCCTCCTCCCTTCTCTCCTCGTCCTCCTCCTCCTCCTTCTCGTCCTCCTTCTCCTCCTCCTCGTCGTCCCGCCCTCAGCCCCCCCCCCCGAAGGAGGATGGAGGATGACGGGGAGGAGAAGGAGTAGGAGAAGGAGGAGGAGGAGAAGGAGGAAGAGGAAGCCTGGGACGTTGAACACTTGCACTGGCAACAAGGCCTGAGCCCTCAGCAGAAACGCTGCATAAGACGACGCATCGTGAGTCGACACCGAGGCACACGCCCAGGGCACGGGCACGGCACGCGGGCAAGGCGCTGCACGCGCACGGCACCGCACGCGGGCGGCCACTTCTTCGACTTCCAGCACCTGCGGTCGGGAACTTTGGCATCGCGTGCCGCCACGGTTGCCGTGGCGACACGCCACATGCCCTGCGAGTGGATCGCCTGTCGCTCCGCTCCGCGGGGCGGGGGGCGCGGGACAGCCCGGGAGGTTGACGCTGGGCGGCTAGGGAGGTGGACAGCGCGCCGTGGCGCAGCGTGGTGGGCCTCCTACTCCTCCTCCTCCTCTCCTCCCTCCTCCCTCCTCTCCTCCTCCTCCTCCTCCTCCTCCTCCTCCTCCTCCTCCTCCTCCTCCTCCTCCTCCTCCTCCACCGGCGGGGCGACGCGCTCTCCAAAACTTTTCCCGGCCGCGGAGGGACCTCCCGGCCGCAGAGAGGCACGGCACGGCACGCTGCGGCCCCCGCGGGGCACGGCACGGCACGGCGCTCGGCGGGGCAGGTCTAGGGGGCCACATGCGCACCCTACCCCATACCCCCCGCGATTTCGGAGGGGGGGGGGGGGTTCATTTCGTTCGGGAGCTCCTGAGCGAAGTGAGCCCCACCCTGCCCGTCAGAAGTCGTGGGGGGCGCAGGGGTGGGGTTCGCATGTGGCCCCCTAGACCATCCGGCGGCGCCGACGCTGACGCCGCCGACACCGACGATTTCTGAGGCGGAGGGTGCGGTTCACGTCGTTCGGGAGCTCCCGAGCGAAGTAAACCCCACCCTCCCCCTCAGAAATCGTGGGGGGGAGGGGTGGGGCTCACATGTAGCCCCCTGAGGTTTGCGCAGTCCAGAGCCTGGGCACGGCACGGCCCATCTCCGTCCCAATCGCAGCGAGGTGGTACAGTCCACCCGTATAGTAAGGCTGCGCGATAAGGACACAAGGCCCCTGGAAGCCCATTTCGAGGTTTTCGGGCGGGGCGCGGCCAGCGAGGGTGGCCAAGGATGCACCGAGGAGGCAAGGATGCAAGAGTACCCTTGGGAAGGTTGCCCGTCCTTACTATGCGGGTTGACTGTATCCGAAGCATCTGTTCACGTCTGTGCGTCGCGAACTCGCAGGCACAAGACACGGGGTCGAGGTCTCCAGTGAGCGCTTTTGGGGGCCCAACACATCGGGATTGTCGGGGCGAGATCGCTTGCAGAACGTATGCAATCCCCACTTGTTCCTTGTACCCTACACCTCCTGCTGTTCATTGCTCTCCTCATCCGACCGTAAATATGCAAGAACCTTCACACGAATACCCTCCCGCACTGCCTACAACTCAGTTGCAATCCTACCAGTTGCACGATGCTGGAGCTGCTTGAACCTCCCATTGACCCCAACAGGAGCTTCTTATCGCTCTTATAGAGTCGATCAGGGATTTCCTCACACATTGCTTCGAATCCTGTTGGGGCTTCCGCACTCAAATACGCCTCTTGGATGCCCAAGAGGCCTCCAAGAGGTCCTCCAGGAGGGCCCGAAGAGGACAAAATGATCGATTCCCCATAAGGTTTTGAAGGATTTTGGAATGTGCTTCTTCTCGGCATTCCGACGGCTCAAGACGGCCCAAGAGGCTCCCAAGATCGCCCAAGAGGCCCCCAAGAGGGCCCCATGACGGCCCAAGAGGCCTCCAAGACGGCCCCAAGAGGGCCCCAAGACGGCCCAAGAGGCCTCTAACACGCCCAAGATGGCCTTCAAGACGCCCAAGATGGCCTCCAAGACGGCTCCGTAGCGCCCCAAGAGGGCTCAGACGGCGTCAGACGTGCCAGGAACCCACCAAGATGGCCGAAGTTGGCTCGAGGCTGGCCCAAGACGGCCCAAGAGGCCTTCAAGAGGACCTCCAGGAAGGCCAGAAGAGGCCGAACACATGTATTTTCCTTCGGTTGTTGAAGGATTTTGACATGTGCTTCTTTTCGGCCTTCCGACGGCCAGAGACGGCCCAAGAGCCCCCAAAGATCGCCCAAAGATCGCCCAAGAGGCCCCCAGAACTGCCCAAGAGGACCCCAAGACGGCACCAAGGGGCCTCCAAGACGGCCCAGGAGGCCTTTAAGACACCCAAGATTGCCTCCAAGACGGCCCTGGAGCATCCCAAGAGGGCCCCAAGTCAGCCCAGAGAGCCCCCCAAACGGCTTCCGACGGCGTCAGACGGACCAGGAGCCCACCAAGACGGCCGACCATGGCCCTAATTACGATGGCCCAAGACGGCTCAAGAGGCCTCCAAGAGGGCCTCCAGGAAGGCCCGAAAAGGCCAAAATCATTGATGTCTCATAGGTTTTGGTTTTCCGACGGCCCGAGACGGCCCAAAAGCCCCCAAAGATCGCTCAAGAGACCCCCAAGACGGCCCCAAGAGGCCCCCAAGACGGCCCAAGAGGCCTGAAAGACGCTCAAGATGGCCTCCAAGACGGCCGAAGAGCCCTCCAAGACGTCCTCCAAGAAGGCCCGAAATGGTCAAAATGGCCTCCAGACGGCCAAGATGACCTTCAAGATGCCCACGTGTTCACCGAAGGCTTTCCAAATCGCTTCGGGGAACACATGGTCCGATATCTTGTCAGGTCTGGCCTCAGTGTTCGGCCACATAGGCGCTTCCAAAAAGGCAGGGGGCGGCGGTGATTCGCCGTAGGCGTCTTCGATCCGCCGCCCCCTGTTGATTCATCACATGGGTGCCTGGCGTGCTAGATGATTTCGGTTTTGGTTTTGGTTCTTTTCCAAGAGAACTCCCCTGGGGCTCCGGCGCGTCCCGCTGGGGTTCCGGGAGGATTGCCCAGGAGCGCAATCCCGGCAAAAACCCTCCAAGACGGTCCAAGATGGCCTCCAAGATGGCCACGTCGGCCCAAGATGGCCTCCAAGATGGTCCCGGATGGCCTCCAAGTCCGCCCAAGAAGGTCCAAGACGGCCTCCAAGACGGCCCAAGAGAGTCCAAGAGGCCTCCAAGAGGTCCTCCAGGAGGGCCCGAAGAGACCAACATCATTGATTTTCCAGAAGTTGTTGAAGGATTTTGGAATGTGTTTCTTCTCGGCATTCCGACGGCTCAAGACGGCCCAAGAGGCTCCCAAGATCGCCCCAAGATCGCCCACGAGGCCTCCAAGAGGACCCCATGACGGCCCAAGAGGTCTCTAAGACGGCCCCAAGAGGGCCCCAAGACCGCCCAGGGGGCCTCCAAGACACCCAAGGTGGCCTCCAAGACGGCCCTGAAGCGCCCCCAGGAGGCCCCAAGACGGCCCAGGGAGGCCCCCACGACGGCTTCGGACAACGTCAGACGAGCCAAGAACGCCCGAAGACGGCCAAAAAGGTCCTCAAGAACCCTCCAAGAGCCCAGAGCAGCCCAAGAGGAAGCCCCGAAGAGACCTCCAGGAGGCCCCCAGGAAGCTCAGACCAAGCTCCAAGACTGCCCCAAGATGCTTCCAAAAAGCATCCTCTCCCTACTCTCCCTCTTCCTCTTCCGCTTCCTCTTCCTCTTCGTATTCATTCTCCGCCACGTGTTCCCCGAAGGCTTTTCCGACCGACTCGGGGAACAACTGGCCCGATAGCTGGGCCAAGCTCTGGCCCAGCTGTCAGCCACAGAGGCGCTTCCACAGGGGCAGGGGGCAGGGGTGATTCGCCGTGGGCGTCTTCGATTTCCCCCCCCCCCCCCCCCCCCCCCCTGTAGTCCTCACCCCCACCTTGGCCGCCCCCGACCCTGGACCAAATGTTCATCCCGAATCGTTGGCGGTCCTGGGGCCCGGGCAGGGCCGGGAGAGCCCGAAAACTGCAGGCAACACGCAGGACCCGCCTTCCTCAGGATCGGCGGTGGACAAGCCTCCCTTTAGTAGACCTCCCCTTAAAAAAAACGGCCTGGGACCGAAACCGACGGACCTGAACCCGCAAAACTGACGGCCGCGACGCCCTCTCGCGAACCGAACACGGCCAATTCCTTAGTCGACGTGTCAGGGTAGAAGGTCTGTCCACCCCCGACAGGACACCTTCGCGGCGACGGCTTGCGACGACCCCTCCGAGGGGGCCCGGCGGAGGGTCCTTGCTGGCGCCTCCCGCCACCACGGCTATGAGGTTCTGGCCCGCGAGCACGATGGGCAAGGCCTGCGCCTTGGCACGGCGGAGAGCGGGTCGTGCGGCGCCCCTCTCACAGCCTGATCTCCACTTATGTGAATGGGCCCTGGCACAAACAAGTAAATACGCACAAATAAAAGGATTCCCCATATGTTCCCATAGTTTCTGGGCTTTTGTCTTCCCCCCACTTCCCATATTTTCCCATATTTTCTGGGGGGTCGACGATTAATTGTGTCTGTGTGTTTCTTTCCCTCCTGATCACATCCTGATCTTCACTTATGTTGCTCCCATCGTACTTAAGGACCGCATTCCAGAATTAGTTTCGCGCACCCGGAAAGGTATCGACACGGCGTCGAACGAGTATCGCCTCCCGGGGTCCGACACACAAAACTCCCCCAGGTTCGGTGCGTTCTTGGTGCTCGGCATTGCTTCGGGTGGTCGGGGCTGAGGTAGGTTGGAACAGCATGAACCTCCACCTCGTCAGTGAATCATTCTGCTCCGGAGGAGAGGAGAAATGGGGGGGAGCGGGCGGAAGAGCCCCTCTCCTCCTGGCACTCCGCCGCGGCGCTGGAGGCAGCATGCCACCTGCCCGTCCTCCCCTCATCCCTCCCCTGCTCCCTTTCCCAATTCCTCCTCCTCCTTCTTCCTCCTCTTCCTCCTCCTCCTCATCCTTCCTTCATCCCTCCCCATCCTCCCCTCCTTCCTGCTCTCCTCCACCTTCTCCTCCGCATCCACGCCCCCCTCCTCCTCCTTCTCCATCTCCTCCTCACTTACAACACACTTTCCACCCACGAGGGAAAATCCCCCTCCTTTACTTACCCTCCCGCTCCGACGTCCCGACGACGACGACGACGACGACGACGACTTCGACGAGGAGGACGCCGACGCTGACGACGACACCGACAACGTCAACGGGGACGACGAGGACGACGACAACGACAAGAACAACGACGTGAACAAACGACAACGACGACGACGACGACCACGGCGACGGCGACGTTGCCGATCACGGCGACCCCGACGACGACGGCGATGGCGACAAAGCCGACAACACCGACGACAAGTAAATTACGTGGGGCACAGTATGACCATGATTCCGAGACGGATCCGGACGTGACCACCAGGGGCAACCCCGGATGCCTTAAATGGCCCTGAACGCCAAATCAAAGAATGGATCCTTGAGTCTCGATCCTCTTCGACGACGACAACCTATGGATCTCGGGACCACCTCCTGGGACCCGTTTTCCGTCGCGGGTCGTTTCTTGCGGCCACGGGGCCCGATGGCCTCTCCAGGGGCCCACGAGACCTGGAAGAGCGTCCGCCATGCATCCCCATGGACGACGCCAACGACGTCGACGATGACGCAGGTGAAGACGACGACGACGACGACGACGACGACGACGACTAAGACGACGACGACGACGACGACGACGACGACGACGACGACGACGACGACGACGACGACGACGACGAGACGACGGCATCGGCGGCGGCGGCTGCGGCGGCGGCGGATGGCAGCGGCGGCGCGCCTCGATCGGCGAGGGCTCGAAGCGGTCCGCCTCCTGCAGGGCCTCGAGGCGGCGGCGGGTCGGCGTCGGCGGCGTCGGCGTCGGCGCCGCCGGCTGGTCTAGGGGGCCACATGCGAACCCCACCCCTACCCCCCACGATTTCTGACGGGCAGGGTGGGGTTCACTTCGCTCAGGAGCTCCCGAACGAAGTGAACCCCACCCTCCCCCTCAGAAATCGTCAGGGGTAGGGGCACGGTTCGCATGTGGCCCCCTACGGTCATTCATGGTCGTCGTGGGTTCCCACGGCAGGTTCGCGTCGCGATGACGTCGGCGTTGGTTTCTGACACCGCGCGGATCGTTCAGCCTGGTACGATCGGCGGCTTGGCGGTTGCCAGAACGTCCTATGGTGGCCGATTCTGGGCGACTGGCGGCATTCAACCTTGAATGCCCACATCGGGGTGCCCGTCGCGACAACCTGGCGCGAACTTGCCGCACTCCGCCCGCAGGGCAAGCCGGGTATGTCGCACGAGACTGCGCCAAGAACGCACGCGCGAGATGAGGAGGGAGACAAGGCAGGGAAGGCAGCGGCCGGAACGTCATCGCCGCCGTCGTCAGAGCATACGGCTGCTCTTCTTCTTGGTTTCTCATTTCGGGGAGGGGCCCGCTCGGATTGGACAGCATTGCAAAATTGGTAAATTGGAATATTGGATACTGTCCAATCCAGATGTCCAATATTGGACCAAAGGTCCAATATTGGACCCTGGTTCCGAGACTTCTCTGAGTTTCCAATCTTGGACCCTCGCTCCAAAAATGGACCGCCAGGGCCAATATTGGACCCGCGTTCGGACGTGTCGTCGGGGCTTTGCACGCCTCCCGATTTTCCAAACCGGACGTCCAATATTGGACCTGGGGCTCAATTTTGCGCTTGGCTCCAATATTGGACCCTCTCTGGGTGTTCCGAGACGCCCTCGAGGACCTTCCTCCTCCCCCTCCTCCTCCTCCTCCTTCTCCTCCTCCTCTTCCTCCTCCTCCCCTTCCTCCTCCTCATCCTCCCTCCCTCCCTCCCTCGTTCCTCCTCCTCCTCCCCTCCCTCCTCCTCCTCCTCCTCTCCTCCTCCTCCTCCTCCTCCTCTCCTCCTCCTCCTCCTCCTCCCCCATCCTCCGGCATACTCACAACTCTGACCTCGGAGATGCTCTGCCTCCTGGTGGTCCAGTTACTCAGTGTTCCGAGATGCCCTCGAGGACCCCGCGCCTCCTCCCACTCCTCCTCCTCCTCCTCCTCCTCCTCCTCCTCCTCCTCCTCCTCCTCCTCCTCGGGAACGCAGTGAAACAAGAAGAGGCGCCGTGAACTGTGGGGAGATCATGGCCCCCGCCATGATATCTTCCCCCACTAGTCATCACCCCCCACTTGGCCGCCCCCGACCAGCGGTGGCAACGAGAGCCTCCCAGGAGGTCCCGGAAAGAGTTCGGGCGGGTGGTCATGTAGTGTGACGAAAAGCGGGAGTGAAGAAAAAGGCCCTCAAGGAGCCCTCTTGGGCCCCTGCTTGCTCCAGAAGGGGCCCGAAAGGACCACTCCAGGGCCCTTCTCTTCACCCCCGATTTGAAGTCCCCCCCCAGTACCACCCGCTCGAAAAGCGAGGACGAAGCAGGGGAACCCGCGTCAGTACCCTTCCGCCCGATGAGCCCGCGCGCGCGCGCCGGGAGCGGCCACGAAGGGGAGGCGTCTAAGAGGGGTGGGGGGGGGCACATCATGGCCGGCAGCACGTGCGCGGCCCAGGGAGGGGACCAGGGAAAGTAATGAAGTAAGAAGAGGCGCCATGAACTCTGGGGAAAGATCATGACTCCGCCATGATCTCCCCCCCTCCTAGTCATTAGTCCAAGACATGCGACGTCCTGATTTTTTCAATGCGGCGTCCCTGGAAGTCCACCCTTTCCTTGGGGCCGGTTTTTCGTACCGAGTCATTGTTTGACGGTCCCGGGGCCTGGCGAGGACCTCCAGGGGCCAAAAATAGCCAAACATGTGCCGCCCTTATTTGTCTAACGCCGCGATCATGTCTGAGGATGGCCCCCGCCATGATATCCCCCCCAATCATCACCTCCTCTTCCCTGAGATCCGACGTAGCGAAGGAATTGCAACATCGTGAATATCCGCGCCCGGAGCTCCGGACCCCGTCTTTCTGCGCCATGTTTCGAGCCGCATCGATCTGTGAGGGTCCCGGGGCCTGAAAAAGCAAAAAAACATACACCAAAAATCGTCCCCCAGAATGTGTGGACTATTTTTGAATACTCCTCCTGCAGAGGGACACGCCCGACTTAACCTGGTCATCACCCTCCTCTTTCCGGCCGGGCGAAGGGGGGGGGATAGCAAAGGGGGGGGTGAGAATCAGCTTGCGCTTCCAGGCGCCTCCCGGCGCCAGAGGCGCCCCTGTATATAGAGGAATGGGCCCGGCGGCGGGCCGAAACCGGCTGCATCCAGCAGATTTCGTCCCCCCCCCTTTCCCTATCTCCCCCTGTCGTTGAGCTCCCCGAGCGCGCGGCCCTCGCGAGCTCTTCGGCTGCTGTCGTCCCAGGAGGAGGAGGAGGAGGAGGAGGAGGAGGAGGAGGAGGAGGAGGAGGAGGAGGAGGAGGAGGAGCGGGGTCGCGGGCGGCGAGAGCCGGAGGCCCCGCGCGCCAGGCCCAGAGGCGCGAAGGGGCGGTGGCATGGCCGGGCCAGGGAGTGCTCACGAGTGGGGCGAGGGTCGTGGGCTCAAGGACACACAAACAAGCACACATACACGCACACACACACACACATACGCAGACACCCAGGATTGCCCATGTCGTTCCATAGTTTCTGGGTTTCCGTCTTCCCCCCCGCTTCCCATAGTTTCCTCTGTTGTCCTGGGAGTCGACGCTTCATTGCGTCTGTGTGGGTTTTTCCCCTCCTGAGACGTGGGAGCAGAGTGGTCCGGAGGGAAACAGGTGGTCCTGAGGGAAAGCTGGTCCGGGGGTGCTTTGCTTTCCCTTCCTTCCTTCCTTCCTTCCTTCCTTCCGTCCTTCCGTCCTTCCTTCCTCTCTTCCTTTCTTCCTTCCTCCTCCTCCTCCTCCTCCTATAGCCCTGTTGAGCGCAAGCATTGTATTCTCGAGTCCACTTTGTCGTTCCTGCCCACGCGCCGACCGGCATATGGATTCGTGCTCGTGCTCGAGGACGGCGTACCTGAAAGCTTTCCGCCGCTCCCGGGCTCTCGGGGCCCTCCGCGGACCCTGTGAGCGTCGGAGAACGCCTCGGGATGCAGGACTCGTCCTGGGAGAGAAGCCCGAGGATCAGGACTCCTTCCCCTCAGGACCCGTTTCCCTGCACGAACCCTACTTCCGTCACCTCTTGTCTCATTGATTCCCTCCCTCTCTCTCATCCGCCTCTCATACCTCTTCTCTAGGCCCAATAATGGACCTGGGCTCCAATATTGGACTTGAGGTCCAATATTGGACCTTCCGATGGGTCAAAGCGGGTTCCAAATTGGACCTGGGGTCCAATATAGGACTTCCGGATTGGGAAATCGTCACGCGCACAAAAACCCAGAGCATTCTCCAAACCGAGGTCCAATATTGGACCTCCATATTGGGAAAGTATCCAATTTTCCAATCCGCCAACCTTCCTATGGGATCCATTACTACGACTCCATCCAACCAACTCCAATATTGGATAGACGTCTAATTAGTCCAATCGTCCAATCGCCCAGCGGGCCCTCGAGCGAAAAGCAAACATACGGGGCAATTGTTAATACATAGGATGTTAAAACACATCTGAATTTAATACATGATTTATGTATGAATAAATTAATGCATGAACTCATCGTTCTTTTTACTACTGAATCCCCGCATGTTTTAAACATGATCCGCACGCGGAGCATGTATAAAAAACGGCACTGTAGGATGTACCGATACCGCTACTCCGCGGGCCTTTCCTGGGGTGCGTTCTGACCAAGAGTTTCGGGGCGCATCCAGCGGTGGCGACGAGGGCCTCCCAGGCAGACCAGGACGGCGAGAACGATGGACGTGTCGCGGTACGAGTGCCCTTTCCTCACTCCCCCCCAGACGCGAATCTGCCGCACCGCCGTGCGTCGGGGACGACCTGACCCCGGTCAATGCACACCAGGGCCAGTCGAGCTCTAGAAGCTCCTGCAACATCCTGCAGGCTACTGCAGGATCCTGCGCGCTTGCCCGGGTCAGTGCAACCCTGGCTCTGCAGGATCCTGCAAGATCCGGCGCTCTGGCTGGCCCCGTCTGCACCGACCCCACCTCAAGGCTCCCGAGAGCCGACGCCGCGGGCCTCCAGCAGCCAGCCCGGCACAACGCCCGCGGCCTCGAAGGACTCCAGCGGCAGGGGGGTGGCGTCCTCCCGGGGATCTGTCACGGCGCTGGTGCCGCCGGCGCCACCGCTGCCGTCGGCGGCGGCGTCGGCGTCGTCGTTTGTTTGTTGAGAAATACAAGGACGGTATTGGGCACTTGGGGTTGGTAAGATACAGGGCCCAACTGTGTATTAAGCACGTTCAGCACACTCGAAATACGGATGTCCTGATCATTTCTCAAACACAATGCTCCCAACCCGATCACTGCCTCTCTACTTGGTCGGCGGGTAGCAGCGAGGCAGGCACCCGTCAAGCATGGGGACGGGCGCTCCAGAAGCGCACTTCGGCAGGGAGGGAGACGGCCTGAGGAGGGAGGCAGAAAAGGACAAGCCGCGGTCAGAACATATGAAGTCCTTCACGCACGTGCCTGAGGTGCGCCGTCGGATCGGATTCACGAACAGACAAGAGTGAGGAGGCCGGGAGGAATCACCTGGGAGGTTTTCGTAAGAACTATCGCGGTCGGGAACGTTTGCTGAGCATGCTGCGGCGGCGGCCACGGCGACTCGCTACGCCTTGCAAGCGGACAGCGTGTCGCTCCGCTCCGCGGGGCGGGAGGCACGGAAAAACTCGGGATGGCACCGCTTGGAAAGGGAACCGTGGTCAGCATGTCGCGCCGAAGCGTGGTGGGCCAGAACTGGAATCGCAACGCGCCAAGCCGCAACTCCTAACCGTACGCGCTACTATGCTTAGGTCGGGCATGTCCCCCGACATGCGAACGCAGCACAAATACCCCCAAATAGTAAAACATGCAAACAAGATCGTCTCCCGACTGTTTCCCAACCCTCCTTTCTTGGGTATCATGTTTGAAGAAAGCGCTGCGGTCTCCAGTCCTCCTCCGCCCGCCTCTCGCCTCTCGCTTTCCTCTTGTCTCCCCTTGTATTGTGCGTACCTCGTGTGTGTGTGTGTGTGTGTGTGTGTGTGCGTGTATGTGTGTGTATGTGTGTGTGCGCGTGTGTGTGTGTATGTGTGTGTGTGTGTGTGCGTGCGTGCGTGCGTGCGTGCGTGCGTGCGTGCGTGCGTGCGTGCGTGCGTGCGTGCGTGCGTGCGTGCGTGCGCGCGTGCGTGCGTGCGTGCGTGCGTGCGTGCGTGCGTGCGTGCGTGCGCGCGTGCGTGCGCGCGCGCGCGTGCGTGCGTGCGTGCGTGCGCGCGCGCGTGTGTGGGTGTGTGTGTATGTGTGTGTGTGTGTGTTTCTGCGTGTGTGCCGTACCTGGGGGGGCTGCGATCTGCCACACTGTCGCCACTTTCGGGGGCTGCTGGTGGGTCCTGCGGACTGAGGCACCGCTGGGACCCGAGCGAGACCTCGCCGTCCCCGGGGGGGCTGCGACATGCGACGCTGTCGCCACTTCCGAGGGCTGCTGGTGGGTCCTTCGGGCTGGCCGCGGGATCTGAGCGAGACCTCGCCGTCCCTGGGGGGCTGCGATCTGTGACGCTGTCGCCACTGTCGACGGCTGCTGGTGGGTCCTGCGGACTGGAGCACCGCGGGGACCTGAGCGAGACCTCGCCGCCCTTGGGTGGCTGCGATCTGCGACACTGTCGCCACCTTCGAGGGCTGCTGTTGGGTCCTGCGGGCTGAGGCACCGCGGGGGCCTGAGACCTGAGCGAGACCTCGCGGTCCCTGGGTGGCTGCGATGTGCGACACTGTCGCCAATTTCTAGGGCTGCCGGTGGGTCCAGCGGACTGACGGGGACCTGAGCGAGACCTCGCCGTTCCTGTGGGGCTGCGATCTGCGACACTGTCGCCACTTTCGAGGGCTGCTGGTGGGTCCAGCGGAGTGAGGCACCGCGGGGACCTGACCGAGACCTCGCCGTCCCCGGTGTGGCTGCGATCTGCGACACTGTCGCCACCTTCGAAGGCTGCTGGTGGGTCCTGCGGAGAGGGGGGGGGGGGGAAGAGGAGGAAGGAGGAACAGGGCGGAACAGGAGGGAGGAGGGAGAAGAATTTAGGAAGAAGGATGCGCGCGGGGGAGGAGGGAGGAGAAGGGAGGAAAAGGAAGGAGGGAGGGAGGAGGAGGAGGAGGAGGGGAAGGAGGGAGGCAGGGACGGAGGGGATGGAGGGATGGAGGGAGGGGGACGGAGGAAGCGAGGAAGGGAGGGAAAAGGAACGAGATGAGGATGAGGAGGAGGAGGTGGAGTAGGTGGAGGAACATGAGGAGGAGGAGGAGGAGGAAGAAAAAGAGGAGGAGGAGCAGGAGGAGCAGGACGATGAGGCGGAACGAGGGGGAAGAGGAAGGAAGGAGGAGGAGAAGGATGAGGAGAGAGGGGGGGAGGAGGAGGAGGAGGAGAAGGAGGAGGGGAGGAGGAGGAGGAGGAGGGGAGGAGGAGGACGAGGAGGAGGAGGAGGAGGAGGGGGAGGACGACGAGGAGGAGGAGGAGGAGGAGGAGGAGGAGGAGGAGGAGGAGGAGGAGGAGGAGGAGGAGGAGGGGGCGGAGAAGGAGGGTGGCGGGGTGGCGCAGGTAAAGGTGAAAGTGAGGGGCGCTTGGGGACAGCGCCCCATGATCTCTGGAATGCGCCTGGCCCCCGCGCCACGAGAGCGAGCCTGGCCGCGCCAAAGGAGAGGGATAATGAGGGAGGGGGGGAAAAATGAGGAGGAGGAGGAGCAGGAGGGGGAGGAGGCGGAGGAGGAGGAGGAGGAGGAGGAGGAGGAGGGGAGAAGAGGATGAGGATGAGGAGGAGGAGGAGGAGAGGAGGAGGAGGGGAGGAGGAGGAGGAGCAGGGGGTGGAGGAGGAGGATGAGGAGGAGGCCCCGAGCGATGAAACGCGAGTCTGCCGAGACGAACCCACGCCAACGGATAGACACAAAAGGATCCGACACCCCCAATGGGGGTAGTGCGGAGACCGAAGGCCCCTTGGATGGGCAGCGTACCCCAGGTCGACGCTCACGACAGGGTGCGCCACCACGAGGACAGAGACGGCGAAGGCGGGCGCATCGCAGACGGGCCGCGCGAGCGAGCCGCACTCCAGCAGCGCGAGGACGGAGCGAGCGTGAACATCACGTCCAGCGGTGAGACCTCGCCAACCGAGCAACGAACTCGTGCACGTCGTCGACGATGGCCGAGTCCGCAGGGGACAGCGAATCGATGCTCGCCGTCGCCGCCTCCACGAGGCGGAAGAGGTCGCCAGGGGGCGTCCCCAGCCGTGCAGCCAGCTCCGCCGACCGCTGCTGGATCGCCGCGAGGGTCACCGCGCCGCCAGCCGCCGCTGCCGCCGCCGCCGCCACAGGCGCAGCGTCGGGCACCGTAGGTGCCGCCTCCAGACGTGCAGGACGGCCTCCATCGGCCCAGGAGTCGTCGAGCTCGTCCACCTCGTCGCCCTCATCACCGCCACGACCACCGACATCCAGAAGAGGAAGCCCCACAGCTGCACCAGGGAGGAGGGCGGCCGCAGGCGCAGGGCGCGGGCGGCGCCGCCGCCTCCTCGCCCCGTGGCCGCCGCCAGCCGCCTCCAACACCATGGGCGCTGCGTGTACTCCTCCAACATCGGCGCTCTCCGCCGCGGCCGCCTCGGGAGGCGCGCCCCGGCCCGCAGCACCGGGCCCACGGCCCCCGCGCCCGCGCCGCCGCCGACGCTTGGCGGGCGCGGCGCCAGGGGGAGCCATGGGCGGCGGCGTGACCCGAAGGGACGCCACTGCCGCGCGCAGCATGCCTTCCGCGGCTCGCAGCAGGCGCACCCCCGACTGGGAGCGCCCCGCCGCAAGCCCCGCCGCCGCGTGCGCCGCCAGCAACGCCCCGCGGGCGGCTTCTTCGGCGTCGCGGCGTCCAGCAGGCTGCGTGACCGTACCAGGCATTGCTCCGCAGCGAGCGCGGCGCGGCCGCGGCCCAGCGATGCGGGGTTGAGCCAAAATGGGTACTGAGGAGGAGGAGGAGGAGGAGGAGGAGGAGGAGGAGGAGGAGGAGGAGGAGGAGGACGGGGGGGAGAGGAGGAGGAGGAGGAGGAGGAGGAGGAGGAGAGGAGGAGGAGGAGGAGGAGGAGGAGGAGGAGGAGGAGGAGGAGGAGGAGGAAAAGGAGGAGGAAAAGGAGCAAGAAAAGGAAGAGGAGACTGAGGAGGCGGACTGATAGATAGAGCGACGCCGAAACGGCGGTCCTGCCTCATGGCCGAGCACTCGGCCGCCCCGCTCAGCGGCTCGTAGTGCAACAACGTGTGCAGCACCAGGCCCACACGCCCCTCCGGGGAACGACATCGAACTTCTGGAAGTTCTGGAAGTCTGGAAATCAACAGCTCACACAACAACCCATCCGGACTGAATTACGTGTTGCTGTGCCGCCGAGGCTGTTCTCCTAAGCACTGGCGAAACAACTGGTCTTGAGTAACACTTCGGGTGTCCTCCACGGCCACAGCATTACCCTGGGCTGTTCTCCTAAGCCCTGGCGGAACAGCTGTTTCAAAAAAGATGCCGCGTGTGCTCCGCAGCCGCACCAGCAGCAAGGTGCTGGCCCAGGTGAGTGTTCTGCTCGTCCACGGTCTGCCTCTTCTCCTGCTCCTTCTGCTTGATACGATCAGGCAGCGCTGCCATTCGAACCTCAAACGAATGAGGCCCATCAGGAGCAGGCCGCCGGAAGCAGGTGGTGGCCATCACAGGCTCAGACACCACCTTCGCGATCCTCTGGATCTGAACTGTGGCATCTATGGAGGAGGACGAGAAGGAGGAGGAGCAGGAGGAGGAGGAGGAGGAGGAGGAGGAGGAGGAGGGAAGGAGGAGGAGGAGGAGGAGAAGTAGGAGGAGGAAGAGGAGGAGGAGGAGGAGGAGGAGGAGGCGGAAGAGCGGGTCGCCCGCGCTGGGGCGCCCGCACCTGCGGAGCGGCCGGTTGCCCCGGTTCGCGGCCCGGGCTTCGAGGCCGCCGATGCGCGCGGGAGGGCCGGCGGGGAGGGGTGTGTGGAGCCGGGCGGATGGCCGAGGTAGGCAGGAGGGGTATCGGATATCGAGAATCGATGAAGGGTCGAAGATCGAGGACCGGTCGAGGATCGAGGATTGGAGGATCGAGTATCGTAGGTAGGCGTCCTCCCGAAGGGACTGCAGGTTAGGCCCGAGGGCTCGGGTACATTGGCACAGGGTTGCGGGGCCAAGGGGAGGAGGAGGAGGAGGAGGAGGAGGAGGAGGAGGAGGAGGAGGAGGAGGAGGAGGAGGAGGAGGAGGAGGAGGAGAAGGAGGCGTAGGAGGAGGAGGAGGAAGGGGGAGGAGGAGGAGGAGGAGGAGGAGGAGGAGGAGGACAAGGAGAGGAGGAGGAAGGCGGAGGAGGAGGAGGGGAGCTGGAGGAGGACGGACGAGGGAAGGCGGAGGAGGAGGACTCCTCCTCCTGGAGAGGGGCCTCCTCGGGGGAGGGGGGCGCGTCCCCAGGCTGCCCGCGCACGCGCGGGGTCCTCCCCGGCCGGGTCTTCCACGGAGTCGATGCCGAGCTTCTTCCGCCTTGCGAGGGCTTCTGCAGATCGCTCCGCTCCGTCCGCCGCCCTCGGCTTCCGAAGGGCGAGGAAAAGAGGGGAGGGGCGGGGCGGCTTCGGAACGAGGGCGCCTCAAGAGGGGGTGGAGGGGGGGCAAGGATGGCCCTCCCTCCCCCCCGACCTTGCTCGGCCCCCCTGGGCGGGCTCTCTCGCAGGTTCAGTTGGCCACTCTGCCCAGGGAGGCAATGCGGGCCATACGCGTGCGAATGTCGAAAACGTCACACAATCACCGCACACCCGTGCGCTTCTCACAATGTCAACACAGAGGTCTTCAAACACATACGAAGACCCTCTGGCCCTTCGGAACAAATCTGGTAGGAAGTATGAACTTCTGCGGGCGCGCACTTGCTCACCTCCTCAGCACGACCGTTATCTGTTCTGTCAGCGTCATCGTCAACGGGCCCGCGCCTTCTGAGAAGCAAGGGTGCTTCTAAGAAACCTTCACCTCTCCCCCATACCGCCTCTGCGCGTGGCCGGGGCGATCAAGACGTCCCGAGATCGAACATCGAACCTCGATCCTCGACTGAGCCCAGACATGCGACGTCCTGATTTTCCCAATACGGCGTCCGCAGAAATCCCGACCCTTTCCCCTGGACTGGCTTTGCATCCTGAGTCGTTTCTTGATGGCCCCGGGGCGCGGCGAGGGCCTCCGGGGCCCGGCAACAGTGAAACCCCTCCCGCCCAGATGTTTGCTTTACGACACGGTCCTATCCCCAGACCCCCGACGGCGTGATTTGTTTTCCCGACGTGGCCCCCAGGAGACGGAGTCGCTTTTGTTGACGGTCCCGAGGCCCGGCGAGAGCCCCTGGAGGCCAAACATAGCGAAACACCTCTCGTCGTGATTGCTTTGCACAGGGCGAGGAGGTCTGGGTCTGGAGTCTGTCCCCCCATCGTTGCCTCCGAATTCTTCCCGGTAAGGCCGGGGCGGCGCTGGGGAGAAAATGAGTACGAGGAGGAGAAGGAAAATGGACCCTAAGAGGGCCCCAAGAAGCTGCCTCCTCCTCCTCCTCCTCCGACTCCTCATTTTCTCCCTCTCCTCCCATCCTCCTCCTCCTCCTCCTCTTCCTCCTCCTCCTCCTCCCTCCTCCTCCTCCTCCTCCTACACTCTCCTCCTCCTCCTCCTCGCTCCTCTCCTCTCCTCCTCCTCCTCCTCCTAGTCCTCCCTCCCACACCGCCTCCTCATCCCTCTCCTCCTGTCTATGGAAGCCCGTCCCCCTCCTGGGACGCTGCCTCCGAAGCCCTCCCGGGGAAAGCCAGGGCGGCGGCTCGGGGCCCGCCGCGACCGCGGGGTCCCGCGCGAGGGCACGTGAGGGGCCTCCTCCCCCCTTCCTCCTCCTCCTCCTCCTTTCCTCCCTCCTCCTCCTCATCCTCCTCCTCCTTCGCAACTCCTCTCCTCCGTCCTCCTCCTCCTCCTCCTCCGCCTCCTCCTCCGCCTCCTCCGCGCCTCTTCACCGCGGCCGCGGGGGCCACCCCGCAGGGCCCGTAGCCGATGAAGCCGCGGCGGAAGGGCCGCCTCTCCTGCGTCCTTTTCGAGGGGGGGGGGGCGAGACCGGGCCTCCTCTCGCTGTGACAACATCAGGGCGAGCGTCTTCTCATCCGGCGTTGCGACATCGAGTGAAAAGTGGGGGGGGGGGCTCCAGACCTCTGCTCAGTGCGACTGTTTGCAACACTGCGCCCCCTGAGGGAGGGACCCGCCTGCTCGAAACAGGCGCCAACAAAATAGCCAAGATCCACTCCAGGGGGAGGAAAGGGAGGGGGGGGGGCGAGGGCCCGCGCCGATCGGCAAAACAACGGATACAGAAAACGCCCACAAGTGGCAAAATCAGGACGGGAGGCGTTTCGCCAGGTTCGGCCTCCAGGGGCTCCCGCTTGGCCTCGGGACCGTGAATGGGACGACCTTGGATGAAAAACCGGTTTCCGGGAAGGGGTCCAGACTCGTGGGGGTCACGTAACGAAGCAAATCCCGACGTCGGGGGTCTGGGAATGCCGAGCCAGGGATCGGCAGCAGAAAAGGCCTACCCCAGAGGCACGGAACTTCGTCGAATCTGGGCCCAGAAAGGCGCGGAGCGTGCCCAGATCAGCCGAACACTCTGCGTATGTTATTGTGGACTCGACGAGCATGAGGAAACAAAGAGGTACCGATTCTACTACTCCCTGGGTCTTTCCTGGGGGGGCGTCCTGACCACGATTGCGAGGCGAATCCAGCGGTGGCGACGAGGACCTCCCAGGAGGCCCCCAAAAGGGGGAAACGAGGGAAGTGTAGAGGCATGGGTGCCTTCTTCCTTCTGTGAGAACTACTCTGCTTGTTGGGGGTAAGATCGATTTTGCAGTAGGCGCGCTTTATCGCACAGGGTAGGATAGCAACGGGCAAGGCATGGCGGCGCGGATCCACAGAGGCTTGGGCCGCACTGTAGCGGTGCAGCGTCGAGGGCGTGGAGACCTGTGCACATCCGCTGCCGCAGCCAGACGACGACCAAGACGAGGAGGCCGAGGAGGAGGAGGAGGAGGAGGAGCAGGAGGAGGAGGAGGAGAAGGAGGATGGGGAGGGGGAGGAGGAGGATTAGGAGGAGGAGGAGGAGGAGGAAGAAGAAGAAGAGGAGGTGGCAACTCATGGAAGCCTCCCGTACCATCGTGTCGGCTCTTGCGAATCGACGCTCGTCGACGCCAAAACGACGCCACTCGACGCTGAGTAGACGCTAGATCGGCGCTGCCTGAAGCAGACTACCTGGACGCAAGGCGATCCTGCGCACGCCCTCGGGATCCAGCCCGGTGTTGATCCGCAAACCGTTGCTGGCCCGCAGCCCCCGCACCTCCGCCCAACCCTGGTGGGCCTCAAGGCGGGGGCACCCAAGCCCACGAAGACTGCGGAGAGCCACGGGATCGGCTAGCGCCCAGGCCCTCACGGGACCTCGGGGGGAACAGGCCCGCATCGGGGGGATACTCTATATCCGCCGCCCGTGGAAGCGACGTCCTGGGGACCCAGCGGCAAGTGAACATGGAGATACTCGCCGGGAACTGTGTTTTCCGACCGCGCTGCCCCAGATTGCGCCGTTCGGGAGGCGATCGGAGCGGAAGTACCACGCTGCGCCCATGCGTCGGTAGCCGAATCTATATCGCCGTGCCAGGGCGAGCGCGCAGCCCGCGCCCCCCCCCTCCCCCCAGCGATGCGAAGCTGAGCAACGAAGCGACGCGACGACGTCACCGATGAGGCGCATTGCCGTCGTCCCTCATCGGTTTCCTCAGCTTTGCATCAGGGGATGGGGTGTGGGGATGCCGGCGCTGCGCTTGTCTTTGCGACTTCCAAGATACGGTCAGAACGATAGTACCGCCCGTGTATGTGGCCCCAGGGAACCAACATATAGCCACATCCATCGCCTGTGGAGGTCTGCGGAAATCGATCCTCCAACCGATGGTTGTGCCTAAATCCCAGCCGTACCATTCCAGGGGCTCGTTCTGATCAGAACTTCGAGGGGAGTCCCGCCGCTGGGATCGGCACAAGGGTTGCTACGAGGATAGGGAGGCTATCAATGGATGCCACGGTGGCTTATGTCCGCTCCAACCTGGCCTATAGGTGGACTAAACAAGCGCCAAATGGCTATACGAAAGAAGGGTTGGAGATCCCGGCCAAGTGGGATCCGCCCACTTAGCGGATGTGCCTGATAAATATCTCCCCAACGCCATTTGGGACATTTGTCATCCACTTATACGCTAGGTTAGGCCAGATATAAAACCCACACTTGAGCAGGGACCGACCGTCCCGGCATTTCTATAGGCCTACCACGAAATTTTCTTAGATCCCAGAAATGTTCGAATCACAAAAAACCAGGCTCTTAGAACAGTAAACCGATGTGTCAAAACAGGACAGCCCAGCCAGGAATGCGCTGAGAACATCTCGTGGAAACCACACAAGGCTTTTAGAACATTGTTTGGTAGTCCCATGGGCGAGCTAGGATCAGAGGCCTGGAAATTGGCTCCAACACCAGCACAGGGAGGGGGGTGCCTCCACATTGGGAAATGATCCTAGATTCCACTGTTGGTGGTAATCTTTCGGTCACCTTGGAAGCCAGAATATGACCACCGTCGCCGAGATCGGGATCGTCTTCCCTCGGTGGAGGCACACCGCCGAAATTGGTGTTGGTGTCAAGCTCTAGGCCTGCGATAGGACGCTTCGCCACTGCTTGACACGTTGCCCTCCACTGCTAGCCCCCTCGCCCTCGCTCGGACGTCCATTTCCCGTGCAGTTTTCGGTTTCGTGTGTTTTTTTTGCTCAATGGTCCAGGATCGTCCTCAATGGTTCTCGCCGGGAAAAAATGCACACGTCCGAGCGATGCCAGGCCCCCCCCGGTCGAGAAGCCCTGCTCGCGGTGCCGCCGCCGCGGCACCGGCGGCACGCTGCCCCATCGAGGGAGCGCGAGCAGACAGCGTGCCGCTCCGAGTCGCCCCTGGGGGCGGGAGGCTGGGGCGGGCTCGGGACGCGGTCGCCTGGGGTGAAGGGGCCCAACGAACAGGATTCCCCGATCCAGGGACACACGAACAGATAAACACACGAACAGATAGACACAACTAACAGAGGGACACACGAACAGATAGACACAACTAACAGGATCCCCCTATAGTTTCCCATATGTGTGTTGGATTTTTTATCTCACCCCCCACTTCCAATATTTTCCTACATTCTCTGGGGAATCGACGATTACTTGTGTCCCTGTGTGTTTTCTCCCTCCGGATGGGGGCCCAGAGAGTGGACCACGTGCCGCGCCGCGGCGCTGCACATCCGGTACCGGCGGCGCGACGCGCTGCCCAGAAGAAAAGCTCCCCCGTCAGCGGGCTCCGAGCTCCGACGCCTCGAGCCAACGGAGGCGTCGCCTGGCCATCGCTCGGACGCCCATTTCCTGTGTTCTTTTCGGTTTCGTGCGTGCTTTTTTCGCCGACTGATCAAGGATGCTCCTCGATGGTCCTCGCCGAGGGAAACATGCACACGTTCGAGCGATGCCAAGTCGCGAGACACCACGACCAGAGCCCCCGTGCCCCGTAGTTCTGCGCCGCTTCTCGAGCTTGGCTCGGCCCGTGAGGGCCCCCAGGGCCCGAGACGGGGCGAACGCGTCCGGCTGGGAAACATCGAGGCGCCAAGGTTCTCGGGGACACCCCGCACGGATCCCAGCTCGGCCACGTGCACGCAAGAGAGACCCTGGGCAAGAGTGACCTCTTGGGGGGCCACGGAGGGCCAAACACGAGCGAGAAAAACGCTGACTGCCGCGACGCGGTCGGCAATCGGGAGGCACCGGTGGGCCCGCACCAAGTCACACCAGCGAAAGATCACTCTTATGTACGCGTAGTGGGCCAATTGGAAAGAGGAAGACCAGACCACCCGTCATCGAGTCCTCCTCCTCCTCCTCCTCCTTTTCCTCATCATCCTCCTTCTGCTCTCAAGCTTGCGGCCTCCTCTCCTCCTCCCCCTTCCTCCTCCTCTCCTCCTCCTCCTCCTCCTCCTCCTCCTTCTCCTCCGTATCTCCTCCTCCTCCTCCTCCTCCTCCTCCTCCTCCCTCCCCCTCCCCCCCCTCCTCCTCCTCCTCCTCTCCCCTCCTCCCCTCCCCTCCCCTCCTCCTCTCCTCGACCTCGTCCCTCCTCCCCCTCTCCTCCTCCTCCTCCTCCTCCTCCTCCTCCTCCTCCTCCTCCTCCTCCTCCTCCTCCTCCTCCTCCACGACCCTGGAACCACGACGCGCGGAGGGATGCAGGCGAGGAAAGCCAGCCCGCCCGTCCTCCAGTCGACCTTGTACGGCTCGGCGGCCCTCCCGGCGGCCGCCCCCTCCGCCTTCCTGCGCCGCCAGAACACGCCCCCGGACGTGCGGCGCCCGGATTTGCTCCGGTCCGCGGCGTCCCCAGAAGCCCGGACTTGCTCCGCACGGCGTCCCCAGAAGCCCCCCACCCCGGAACGCTCTGGCATGGATGGCTCCTTGCCGCGCCACCTCTTGACGATGGCCGATCTGTGAGGGCCCCAAGCCGGGCGACGACGCCCGGTCCGAAGACACGTGGACGCCGGGGTCTCACTGGACCCTCAGGCGGTGGATCCGGACCCGGACATGCGACGTGCTCCCTGACCTTCTATAGAGAGCTGTTTTTTAGAACGGGAGGCCTAAGAACCTAAAATATGCAACGAAACAGCCTGAAACCAAGACATATAATAGCTCTGGGATAGGTTTTTAAGTCGCGTGCTATTTTTTAGCCCTCCTGGAAGGTCAGGGCTGTTTTTCTTTCAAAGCGGCGTCCCCGGAAATCCCGACCTCTTCCCCCCAGGACCGGCTCCTCGTCCTGAGAGTCGCTTCGCGACGGCCCTGTGGCCCGGCGAGGGCACCCAGGGTTAAATCGGGCATGTCCCCCTTACAGGGGGATTTCCGACGAACAATGAAAAAAGCATCCCCCAAAAATACCTTAAAAAGGCCAAAACATATTCAAAAAATTGTCCCCAGACTATTTTTGGATTATTTTTTAATTCATTATATATATATATATGTTTTATGTATCGTCGAAAATCTCCCTGTAGGGGGACAGGCCCGACTTAAACCCAGGGCCCGAAAAATCTCCCATACTGTTTTTTACCGACGCGATCATGTCTGGATTATGTTGCATTCTCAAGGGGACCTTGTCTGCCCCGTCTCGGCCCTATCCGGGTCGAGTCCGTGTCGAATCCCCGTGGACTCGTGGGATCTGTGCCGAATCCGCGTAGGATCCAAACCAGATCCGCGTCGAGCCCACATCGAGCCTGCGGCAGGCGCAAAACAAGATGCCAATGTTGGGGACAGGCGAGGTCCCCCGAAGATGCAACCTAAGTCCCCAGACCCCCGACGTCGTTTTTTTTAGTTTTTCGCAACGTCGATCCCCAGAGGCTCAGAGGTCTGGAGCCCTTCCCCGGGACCGGCCCTTCATCCCGAGTCGTTCCTGACGGCCCCGAGGCCCGGCAAGGGCCCCCAGAGAGCCGAAGACAGCGAAGAAACCCCTCCCGTCGCGATTCTCTTCTCGGCGCGAGGGGGTCTGGGTCGTAGATGCCACGTGGGTCGAGGGGAAGTATTCTGGCGGCGGGCTTCCGCTTGCCCGGACCCTGCGGCATGGCAGGCGCCCCGCCGCGCGCGCCGGCGGCCCGCGGCCGCGGCCCCGCGGCCCGCAGCGTTGCCGCTGTTTTGGGCCGTCGGCCGGGGCCAGCACGGGCGGGGGGTGGGATCGGCGCGGAAGGGGGGAGGGAGGGGGGGAATGAGGAGGACGGGGAGGAGGAGGGGGAGGAGGAGTAGCTGGGAGGAGGGGAGGAGGGGGGGAGGAGGAGGGGAGAGGTGGAGGAGGAGGAGGAGGAGGAGGAGGACGAGGAGGAGGAAGAGGAGAAGGAGGAAGAGGAGGACGGGGAGGACAGAGGGAGGGAGGAGAGTGCGCCTTTGAAGAAGAGGAGGAGGAGGGAGGGAGGGAGGGAAGAGGGTCCGCCGACCCCAGAGGCGCGTGAGGAATCCTTCAGCACTATCTACCTGGCTTTCTGTTTCACCTGATCGTCCTGGGAGTTGCGCCACCCCGAACCCCCCTTGGAACTGTGTTCTTGGCGCCCCCCACCCGACAATTCCTGGCCCAGAACCGACCCTGATCCCCACCGGGTGCCCACCAACTGCACACCACGTTTCCTCTTCGCCTGACCCCCGAACCGCAATGGGAACTCTTTTAGAGAACGGGGTGTTCTGGGAGTCCCCTCGGGGGGAACAAATCACAACAACAAACAACGCGGAAAACGAAGATGCGACGACGCGAGTTGTCGGGTCGGCATGGTGAAGTTTTGCTTTTGAAAAGAACGCCTCAGCATGTTTTTCTGATGGGGGGAAGGGGGTCTTTGTAATTCCGCCACACAAGGAACTTGTTGTTTGTCAATCCGACAGAAAGAAATCAATTTGTAATCCGCCACAGAAGGAATCAGGTTGTATTCTTTCCACAAAAAGAAAGCAGTTTGTATCGCGGTATCGATGAGCCGAAACCTTGTGTTTTCACAGGTTTGGTGGCTATCAGGCGTCCAAAACTTTTGTTTTCCTTAGGTTTTGCAGCTTTTTCGCATGGTTTTCTTAGGATGTCCTTGGTTTTCTTTGTTTTTTTGCATTTTTTGCCTTTTTTGCATTTTCGCGCGTTCGCGCCCTGGCGCTGGGCCGGCCCTCCGCGCCGCCAGGAGCGGGCAGGCGAAAATGCGAAAAAAACAAAAAAGGCAAAAAAAAACAAAGAAAACCAATGACATCCCAAGAAAACCATGCGAAAAAGCTGCAAACACTAAGGAAAAGCAAGGTTTTGGCAAGCTGGTGCTCACGAAACCTGTGAAAACACAGTGTTTCGTGACGTCGATGAGCCGAAACCTTGTGTTTTCACAGGTTTGGTGGCTATCAGGCGTCCAAAACTTTTGTTTTCCTTAGGTTTTGCAGCTTTTTCGCATGGTTTTCTTAGGATGTCCTTGGTTTTCTTGTTTTTTTGCATTTTATTTTTTTGTATTTTCGCGCGTTCGCGCCCTGGCGCTGGGCCGGCCCTCCGCGCCGCCAGGAGCGGGCTGCGAAAATGCAAAAAAAGGCAAAAAAAAAAAACAAAAAAACAAGAAAACCAATGACATCCCAAGAAAACCATGCGAAAAAGCTGCAAACACTAAGGAAAAGCAAGGTTTTGGCAAGCTGGTGCTCACGAAACCTGTGAAAACACAGTGTTTCGTGACGTCGATGAGCCGAAACCTTGTGTTTGCACAGGTTTGGTGGCTATCAGGCGTCCAAAACTTTTGTTTTCCTTAGGTTTTGCAGCTTTTTCGCATGGTTTTCTTAGGATGTCCTTGGTTTTCTTTGTTGTTTTTTGCATTTTCTGTCCTTTTTTGTATTTTCGCGCGTTCGCGCCCTGGCGCTGGGCCGGCCCTCCGCGCCGCAAGGAGCGGGCAGGCGAAAATGCGAAAAAGGCAAAAAAGGCAAAAAAAAAAAAAAAAAAAAAAAATGACATCCCAAGACGAGGAGTAGGATGAGGATGAGGAGGAAGGAGAGGAGGGCGAGTAGAGGGAAAGGACGAGGAGTAAAGGACGAGGGGAATACAGGAAAGGGGGTAGAGCATTAGTTATCCTCACTCCGTTCTCACAGTCATTCGCTCTTTCGCGTCATTGTCGCGCCGCGACGAGGTTCTGGCTCAACCCATCGCACTGTTCCTCTACAGATCCAGGGGGAGGGAATTGGGGAACTCAGGGACTCAGTAATCTAGGAACCCAGCAACCCAGGAACATAAGAAACCCAGGAACCTAAGAACCCAGGAACCCAAGAACCCAGGAACCCAGAAACTTAATAATCCAGAAACTCAGGGACCTAAGAACCCAGGAACCTAAGAAACCCAGGAACTCAGGAACGTACGAACCCAGAAACCCAGGAACTTAGGAACCCATGAACTCAGGAACTTAAGAAACCCAGGAACCTAAGAGCCCAGGAACTTAAGAACCTAAGAACCCAAGTCTCAGGAACCAAGAACCCAAGAACCTAGAAAACTCATGATCCAAGAATTAGTAAATTAGGAACCCAGGAACCCAGGAACCTAAGAAGCTTGCCCCCTACATGATCATACATATTATTGTGTACGTGTTGTTATTCGTATTCTTCTTATTATTCTTATTCTTCTTATTCTTCTTATTCTTCTTATTCCTTTTATTATTATTCTGATTGTCAGTTCCACTCTTCTTCATATCATTTGTCATCTTCTTCACTGTTCTTTATTTGGCGGCGTCCTCATAATATTTCTCGCCTGCTGCGGCCGCTTGTACGCATGCCTCCCATGAGGAGAATGAGCAGGAGCAGGATGGTGATGAGGAGGAGAAGGACGGGGAGGGCGAGGACGAGGGAGGAGGGGGAGGATAGGGGGGGGATACGGGGGAGTGGGCTGGAAGGAAAAACATGGAAATGGGAAGCAATCGCATGCAACTTGTGCCATTGGCAAAAAAAAGGTGTTTAGGCTCAGGCCCCCGCTAGAACTCCGCTGCCTGGAAGCATGGGCAACCCAGCGAAAGGCACAGAGGCGTACTTTCGGAAACTTGAGAAGAACCGGGAGTACCAAGCCAAAAAGAGGCTTGAAGCTTACCTCCAACAAGATCGGACCAAGCGCCTGGTGGCGACCTTCCGCCGCGCGGCCCTCGAGAAGGTCCGCGCGGCGGTCCGCAAAGCGACGGAGCAGCGCCAGAAGAAAGAAGACGCTTTGAAGACCATGGTGCAACAAAAAACACCATACCACAACCCAGCGTCTAATTAATGCCACGCAGAAGCGACACGATTCGGAAGCACAGTATACAACGTGAGTGATATACTATGCTTCCGAATCGTGACGCTTCTGCGTGGCATTGGATGGCGCCCCCCTTTCGTGGCTCGTCCACAGGAGACGCTCCAACGAGCACGTGCGGAAGGCCCAGAGCGCACGGGAGGAGGCGAAGACTTGGCAGGCCGAGGCGAAGACCGCCTGGAAGGAGGCCAGGAACTGGAAGCTCGGCTTCCTTCAGGATCGCGGCGGTAATTCCTGCTACAGTTAAACGTAAAAAAAAAAAAACAGCAACAACAGAAATCGCGACCCGCGCCTGTCTCCTCCCGAGGAGAAAAAGAAGTGCGAGGCAGCGGAGAAGAAGGGGGCCGCGACGCAGAGAGCGCTCACGAAGGAGAAAGAGAAGCTGCGCAAGAACCTGGTGCGCGACAAGGCCCTTTGGCATATTTTTCACAAGTGCTACGAAGACCACGGGCGGCGGACGTGCGGTAACGACTGGTGGGTGCGATTAGCATCTCGCACAGCAGGGCGCTACCGCAGGTCGTCCGCCCGTGGCCTGTCGCGGCGGCAGTGGAAAGCACGCTTGTCACCAGGAGGTGACCGCGAGCAAGAGGCTGTGCCGGCGCCTCCAGCAGCGGAACCGGTACCTCGAGGCAGAGGTGGCGCTGTGGGAGGCCTGAGCTTTTGGCCAGCGGAGAGCCAACGAGCGGCGCCACGGAGCGCGGTAGAAAAGGGGCATCGCATTTTGCTATGCCCCCCTGGAGAGCCGCGC